AGTAGATACCCCAGATCCTGCTCACAATGTCGAGGACACTGATCGTGCCGCCCTCGATGCAAACGAAGGAACGCGAGATGGAGACTGAGTGCTATGAAATCGCCTAACTAATCTGTATTTCCTTTTTATGAGAATGATACCTACAATGTTTGTACAAATTTAGCCCTACCGATTCTTTCTGTCGAGTGCAATAGTAGAGGGCTGCTTTCATCACAGCAGTTGGGTTTGCTTGGAATGCAGTATTAGCGTGGCGCTGAATCCATCTCTTCAAAAGAGAGAGCGAAACTTCGATGGGGTAAGATCTGGCGAATATGGAAAGAGTAACTGCAGCAACGCTCCTGCAGCATGCACTAAAGCTTGAAGCTCTACGTACATGTGTATTGATTCGCTATCCATGATCACTTTTGACCTAGGCAGCGGCCATGGATTCAGGAACGGCGCAATTTTAACTTTGAACACCGAGTGAAACGTACTTCGTGAAATTGTTCCTTCAGTGATACCCCAGCCAAATAATCCATTTACATCAACAGCAGCAAGCAACGAGACACGGTCTCCACGACTGAACGTTAGAACAGCGTGAGCAGGGGTATTTCGCTTAGACCATCCATATTCACGTAGTACAGATCTACAACAAAGATGTGCTGTCATTAGTTGGTTATACAATGTTACTTTGAACGCTGTGGTAGCATACCTTCCGTCCTCCGAGGTTTCGTCTACAAATACGAGTTGTTCGGGGTCAGAGTAGAAGGTTAATAAACGATTCATGTACTACAATCGCTCTCTTGGGACGCTTTATTTGCCCTTTTGTTCAGCGCCTTCCGATTCAGCCCCAAGTCGAATCGGAGTGCACGACATATAGTCGCGTCAGTCGCGCTGATACTGGTGTCAAACGTAGTATGCAGTTCTTTTCGCAGCTTCTCGAAGTAGAAGCAAGGATGACGAGCGACATACTCGCGCCCAAACTCGCGTACATTCTCCGGCCAGCGTGATGACCTGTTCCTAGTTCCTTCCTTAAGAACGCTACCGGATTTCTTGAAATCTTGATACCAGCGACTTAAGCTGCGTTCCGACACTCCCAGGATCGTAGATACAGTTGCGGTGTTGATATTATAGGCATACATTAGAACTATACCTCTCCATTTGATATCAACTGAGTACATGGCATCAGTGGCGCTTTTCCGATTCTTCTCCGGCTGGCTTCCCAGTTTTGAGCCAACCCCTTGAATGGCTGTGAGATCGTAGCCGTTCCGGTGCGTGGAGCTCGTATAATACTCCGATTTTTAAGCAAAGCCAGTTTTAGATGGTTGTTTGTGATTGGCTACGCACAAGGATGCGAGCTCTAATTCCGGGCGTACGGCCGCAATTCTGTCGTGATTGTAACCTATCCCCTCAATTTACCCAGTTTATTCGGCCCGTTTTGCCAAATTAATGAAAAGCGCAATACCTACATGTATCAGAATGAGCTGATTCAATTTGGTATCAAGTACATCTTCTGTCAAACGTTTGAATATCCACACACTTTCTGACATTTCTCATTTTTGTCGCTTTGTACTTTATACAACAAGCTTAAGCCAGCACAGGTAGAGCTCACCGTCGTATACAGGTTGATGCTTGCACAGGACGCTCGATGTCAACGAGGTGTAGTCGAACAACTACACTGTCTACGGTAATTAGTCTAGGTGCGAAAATAGTCTCAGTTCAAAAGTAGTCTAGGTCAGACTATTTATTGTTTAGCCAAAATATCGAGATTCATAAATAGTCTGACCAACACAGGTTCATAAATAGTCTGACCTGAGCCGTGTGGGTAAGAGTGCACATTGGTACTCAGTACGGCTGGGTTCGAGTCATTACTTTTTTTTTCTCACAACAATTGGTTTTGATGTTTGTGGTTCTCGAAGTGCCGACCAGTGCAAGTACATATACAACCCAGAATCATTAGAAGCTATAGCAACAGGTGTCAGATGTTACCTCCGCTTCGGTGGTAGGGGTGAAGGACTGGATGGTCTCACGTTTTGTGTATTTTTTTGTGACCGGTCGAAATTCATAAATAGTCTTAGCACTTAAATAGTCTGTGTCAGACTATTTAATGTGTATGACCTGAGAAACCATACACACAAAATAGTCTCGGTCAGACTAATTACCGTAGACAGTGTAGCACAGACCTCGGACAGTACAGTAACATATTAAATTGGCGCTCCGGCGTTACCATAATAATCACGGCAGTACACAAGAAAACAATAATAAGTACGGCGCAATTATTGGCAATATCTTCATTACAGGCATTAATGAAGACACCATCTCAACTACTTGTGACACTCCACATGTCCTTGCTGGCACGTAGGAAGGCGAGCATTTCGAAGTGGGCTGGAAGCGTGCTGCTGCGCTGCGGCGTAAGGACGTACTTGGCCTCGGAAAACAAGCGCTCACACGCATTCGATGTCGGCGGTACCTGCGCAGCTAGCGCAGTGTACACTGCACCACCTGCGCGTCTCTTCGGGCCGTTTTGCTGTATGGTCTGCGCAGCGTAGCTGTCCTCGCACTGCTTGCGCTTGCGTCCAGTCTCCGATGGACGCTGCGTCGATTGCTGGTCCTCGAACCGCTTGAGCGCCGCGGTTTCGGCAGCCGACAGCTTCTCCCCAGCGCCGACCTTCACCAGACCATTTTCAAAAATGGGCGAATGGACAATTTTTGAGTTGGTTTTTATAGGTATTCCCCCATAATAGGGTAGTCCAAATGAACCGAATCAAAAAGAAGACGTACCTCGCCCATACTGGTCGTGTCGCTCTGCAGACGCTTGCACACACTGTTTAGCTTGGTCAAGTGCACCAACAAAGCGCACAATTTCTTGTGCTCGCTGGTAGACGGAAGGGAGTCTTCGACAGCTTCAATCTGGCGGACGTGCGCTCTGAGCTTGACGTAGCGCTTCAGCATCTCGTAGGTAGAAGACCAGCGCGTCACATTGCGCGTCTTGGCGAGAAGGGGGGTGAGCTTGGAAAGTTGCGCGGCGTTATTTGGGTAACGTAACTGCTGCATGAGGCTGCTAACCTTTTGTAACAGTGATTCGTGTTCTGTTGAGAGCTTTTTAACCGCCAGGTTAAATCGATGGGATGCACAGCCGACCAATGGGACGCCGAGTTTGGTAGCGATACAGGTACTACGGTTGGTGTTGCAGTTATCAGCAACCATGAACATGATCATATCAACGGTTTTGTTATAAACCGCCAGCACGGTCCGGAAAAGATCAATGTGAGCGTTTGCATCTTGACTCCCCCCGTCGAGCGGTGAAAGCGCCAGTAGCGTGCGTCGAAGCCGATCGCCGACGACATAGAGCCCGTAAACCGCAACGTAGTGCAAGGTGCCATGCGTCCAGCCGTCGTACATTATACCGATCTCGTTTTCCATCTCTTCCTTGATTACAGAGCCTAGTTTTGACGCCACCGTAATCATGTCGGCCTTGGAATTGGTTGCACTCCACTTGGCCATGGCCCTGGTTCGCTCGTCGTTCACCTCGCTCAGCGGCATGCTCCTCTCGACAACCCACCGCAACCAGTGGTAGCGGTGGGATGTCTCCTCGGACACGAAGCCGAAAGTTTCAAGCGGGCGCTCAGGATTGCGATGGTGGGTGTCGTACTGAGCGCGAAAGCCCTCGTGGCGGCTCCTCAGGTGCGAGAGAAGGTTAGAGTACCCTGTGTCGGGAAGTTGTTTTCGATCCGTGCCGCAAAGCTTGCACCGATGAAGCCCTTCGCTTTGAGGCTCGAAGAAGAAGGCGCTGAGGTCACGGCTCGCCACCATGGTTCAAGTTTTAAAGTGAGTAGTAAGTGTCTGGTGCGGCTAGCGGCTATGTATCCTGAGACACAAGGTTAAACGAAGCTTGCATAGCCACTCAGCATTCTTATGCATATATAAACCGTCTTTGAGCCGTCGTGCGGTTCCAGGTTTGCTTGAACCGCTGCACCGAGAGTTGGTTGGTTTGACTTTTTCTTCTGACCCATTATTGTATTGCAATAATTTCTGGAATTTATTATTGTACTGATATTTGTTGATAGCAATAGTACCTATTATAATAAACAAAACACAATAATTGCAGTTCCGCAATTATTTTTTCCGAGGTCTGGTGTAGCAGCTGTGTGGTACATCAGGCACCACGTGAAGATAGAGACCACCGGGTGCATCTAGCATCTTCAACCCGTACAAGTCATTTTGATTTTCTTCAGTGTCCTTCATGTCGACGACCGTAATGTCGGCGAGCTTGGTCTCAACCTCATCGAGCGTAGCTATCGTTATTTACTTGCCGAGAACAGCAGTTTGCCATGGCGACAAAATATCATCTTCCGGTGACACGAAAAAGTGAGCGGCTTTGAGTTTGACAAAGTTGACGCTTGCTCAGTCGTACACGTAGTGTCACCTCCGCAAATTTTAAGTTGTTCACCTTCGGGAGAAACGGGTTAATTTTTAGCCAATTCTCCATCGCAGCCTTATGAAGCGGAGGGGGGAAGCTGTTCGCCTAAAGCAGCTCTTGGCCTGTGGCGTCTCACTCGTAGTTGCCAGCTTCGTAAAGTAACGCTGGAACTTACTTCAGTATACCTGGTAAAACTGATATCTGTTGGGTCGATGGCATAAGGATCGAGGGTCCTTAACAATACTTGGAGAGGCATATCGTCCGATGCTTGCGGGTCGTAGAAGTTGCCATTGGCACCTGCCAGTCTGATGAGCGAGCGCACGTTGTGGTTGCTAGTAGCGACTCGCTACATATTAATTGCAATCACTTGGTGACATCGCTTTGTTGCCGATCTCTGTCGATCTGAACAACAGCTCAGTACTGCAGTGCAGCACGCGAGCAATGATGACAAGGTAGTACTGCTTAAAATTTAAAAATGTTTTCGTTTTTAAAAATACCGTTTACCGAAAGTATCCGTCGAAAGGGCGGCGTCCTCCTTCCTTACGTGTGTTCTGGTCTATCTTTTCCAGGGAGTTTTTGTACATATTTTTTTATCTAAACCATGGGCGTTGAAGTCTCCAAGTACCTGGAACAGGACGCACCTTTAAGCGACAATGGAGTATTGCTCGAGAATCACTTAATCCCTAATGACAGCTCAGTCGCCAGTGTACGACGCACCAGCGCTGACGTCGCCAACCGCTCGCAGATGTTCGCGTTTTGTCAGCATTGGGATCTCGTTCGTGTCACGGAGTTTTTACGCTGGTATACGGATCTGGTCAGAGTGAAGAAAAAGCAGACAGAAGACAGGGACACAATTCTTTCGGATACCTCGGATATGCACCACAAAGTTGATCAACTATCAAAGGAGATTGCAGTTCTGGAGTCACTTTTAACGCAGCTAGAAGTAGAAATCGAGAGCGTCACAGTGGTAAAAAATGATGCCGAAATTCCAAGTGGAGAAGGTTTTGACGGAGATTTAGATTTGGCAGCGACGATAGAAGACGACTCACCAGCACCTGAAGAAGAATTTCTATCGAGACAACACAAGGCCCAGTGTGAATTACGACGGAAAGCTACGGCTCTACGCGATCTCAAGTTGCATCTGCTTGGCTCTCTAGAGGGCGTCGAACTCCGAGAAAATGTACAATGGCCATTGTTTATCAAAGCGGTGACTCATGTTCATTTTTTAGAAACGGTACGCTCCAGCATCCAGTCGAGTGTCGAGTGGCATCCAGCATGCTCCGGTTTTGCCATGCAGCGAGAAACTACTGCGAACTCGGCGCTTGATGAGTACAATAAAGGTGAAATTCTGTTGCCACCTCCCTCGAAGTATGAAATAGACGGCCACACCGATGATAGTGCCAGTAGCTCAGCAGCGAGTGGCGACGATAGCGAGGTCGAAGACGAAGATGACGACGAAGAAGACGACCAAAAAATTGTCGAAGAAAAGGTCTCAGAGAATGAGGATGAAGACGCTGATGTCAGTAAAGAAGACAGTAAAAGTGAAGAGAAAGAACCGGTTTATCCGATAGTGTCAACTTCAGATGATGAAGACGAGAAGCGGCCTCTAAGTGAGTCGAACTTAGTCGAACACACCAGTGAAGAGGCCAATCAAAAGCCTCTCGATGGCCGTGCTAAGGTCGAAGCAATCCTTCAGAAACCTCGCGCTCTTAAACGTTCTCTTCCTGATTTGTTTGACGCATCAACGCGGAGTCCGATCTTCTTCGGATACTCGTACGACAAGCAGAAGAGTCGAGTGGATGAAGCTATGGAAAGTGAAAATATCTCGACAACGAAAGAGAATTTCATCTTTGAAATGAAAATCCAGTATCAGAAAGATCAACTCGAGTCGATACTCACTTCGGAGAAAGGGAAACTACAGGTGCTGTCCCAGAAAGAGAGCGACATACGAGTGAAGCGGGAAAAACACTGGGCAAAGCGCCAAGCAGAGCTTGAACGTGCGAAGAAAGAGCTGGATCCATACGACGTATTCTTCCGGACACAGGAGGCTCAAGACGACAAGACAAAGGGGCAGGAAGCATTTGAAGATGCAGAGTTTACTCGACAGAGGCAGAATATTGACACTAGAATGAAGACAGCAGAGCAGGAATGTACCAAATTCATGGAACACGTCGCTGCTGTCCGCTGTATCGATCGTCCGCTGGGCGACGTGAGGTTAAATTTCCATGGACAGGAGCTGGAACGGTACGAACGAGAGGTGAATACTGCCAAGAGTGCGCTCGCCACGGCTCAGGAGGAATATGCGGCGCTCACCACGTCGAAACTGCGAGCTCCTGGTCAAGAAGCAAAGCTCCGATCTCAAGTTTTGTTTGCGGAAGATCAAATTAAGAATCGGGAAAAAGAACTGGAACGTGTTTGTCGCCTACTCGAGAGCGAACAATTTCTCTTCGGTCGAGCGCAAGAGGAACAGGACAAGGAGCAGCTATTTGTTCCTCTTTTCAAGGCTCTAGATTCTGGAAATCCAGCAGATAAACCAGAAGACTTCAAATTTCAGCTAGTGGATCTTGCTATCGCGATGCTTCTCGGAGCTAGGAAATGTTCGATTTCCGACAAAATTACGTTTCTTTTCGACCTTTTTGCGCGAAATTCGCTAAAATCCATTCGATTCCTGTCATCGGAATCTCTTGTGGAAATTATCCATCTTGTCTTGAGTGTTCTCTCACGAATCGGAGATCTTCACCTCCCTCGGATTTTAACGCGAGAATATATCCAACAATTCGTGGAGCGAGAATTCCTAAAGCTACACAGCAGCAACTCGAGTGAAGAAAAGATATTTCCTGGCATGACGCTGTATGAATTCAACAAATACTGTCTCGAAACGATTGAAGGCTCCAAATATCTATGCGAATTACTCGGCGCTCCATGGAAATACCTGGATTTAAGTCGCTATGTTATCCAGCACATGAATGCTATTCAACAGTACCGACTCGGACTCATAAACGTCAACGACTTGAAGTACGCTCTCGCTCGACAGATGACTCAACCTCGCGAGCAATTATCACGTTGGAAGAAGGCAATTATCCACGAGCGAGCGTTGGCGATGGGAGAAAATGACCCTCTGAAAACGGAATATTCCAAATATCTGCCCAAGCGTCGAAGCAAGTTATTATCCAATGTGGTGCCTCTGGATCACGGTGGATATCGCAATTTGTTGCATCACCGCATGGAGGTAATATCACGTTCTGCAGTGAAGCTTCAGGCTGCGTGGCGCGCCCGAAAAGGTCGTCAAGTGGCTCGTCTGGCAGCTGAAAAGCAGGCTTTCTACCACGCTCGAGGCCTGGCGTTAGAAGAATCTCGTGGCCAAATCGAGCAGGAATGGAGGGATCGAGACGTCAAGCCTGCACACAGTGTGGATAAAATGAAACTTGAAGCTAAAATCCGCATGAAACAGGTGAAATTACGCACGAAAGGGAACAATTTCAGTCGGGAACAAGTGCTCGCACTTATGACGGAAGAAGCGGTGCAACTCGCGCACAAAGAGGTAGAAAACCGGTTCCGAGAAATGGAAGAAGAGCTCGGATACCTGAAACACACCGAGTCGCTACAGCTTCCACACGCAGCGATGGAGTATCTCAAGCCTGACGTTGCTAAAGATTTGGTCTCTCATTTAGAATATGCCAAACAAGAGTCTCCGTCAGTGAATAATATGCTGGAAACTATCGCTGGAAACGAAGAACTTGCACGTCAGAAAGCTACAGCGAAGAATCGCAAGCATGACGCGTCCAGTGACTTGACGTCCGCAGTTCCAGAGACCGAAACAAGCGAAGAAAACGAGAAACATTTCGTCGATAAAGAAGCTTCTGCAGCTCGGATATATCGAGCGAAAGCGAGGAAGGACAACATGTTACATGGTCGATTTCCGCCTGAATTGTATCGTACTGGCTGTACTACTGACGAACTGGTATGGCAAATGGCTCTGGCGTTTCCCGACCCACCGTTGAGAAAATTACGAGATCGACTAAAGCAAATTTGTGATGGTATGACAAATTTTAAGTTAGCAGAATTTCTCCAAGAATTGCCGTCTAAACGTCATATTTGCGACTACGCGACTGCGTTTCGTCGCCGTGATGGATCCTACGATGTGGACGCTATGGAGACGGATTTGTATAACCATTTCCGGATTATCCGTGGCTCAACGCAACTCGCAGCTGCTTTGGTAAATATTGCAGAAACCGATCTGGAATTTGGCTTGACGCAGCAATTATTGAACACAATTCAACAGGAAAACGAACAGATTTTGACGAAACTGGTCGCTGATGAAAGCCACAAAATTGCTAGTGAAAATTCGCTTTCAATGGCTAAAAAGCTGCTTCGCATGGGGTACAAAAGTGACCTCGAAAGTAAAAGGAACGAAGAGCTCGCAGCTGATAGAGAAGACCAGCAGCGAGTGGATTTTAGTGGATTATTCCTGCAGAAAGAGACATACGCACTGAACCAGCGACGTAAAAAGGCTCTTGAAGCTCATAATCGACTTGTAGAGGCCATGAGAGCCTGGAAAGAAGCCGAGCTGTCACTCTTGGAGACGGAGAATAACCAACTGCAAATAAGTCACGCGTACCCTGTTTTACCAGCACATCGCACAAAATGGAGTGAGCGTTTCCAGAATGCTATTGGTCTCGGTGAAGCCGACGCGGACCAGATCCAGGCAAAATACACGGAAATCCTAAATATCTGCCAGGATTTTATGGAAACTGCCAGTGCCCTCGCGTTAGTATTGGTACGAGAATTTTACCTACCACTTCGAGAAAAATCTATTCTTCCGACCAGAGAATCCGCAATCGATGGACGCAAAGATGAAATTCGCAGTAACTGTCGGCGGAAATATGAAGCGCACGACATTCTCTTTAAAATCTGTACCGATGATCACGGACGCTGTGAGAATTCTCACGAGTATGCGGCGAAATGTGGTGGCCACGAAGTTCGAAACTCGGCAATTTATCTACGAGAACTCAGCAGCTACGAGAAAATCCACGTTCCGCTTCAATGTACTGTGGATTTTCAGGGATTCCGCGTCGTTTGTTCATCTAAGATTCCGATTGACATCATCACGTGGAACGAATCTGGAGATGTCCAGCGAATATCCAAGCAGCTAGTTCACGGGAGCGATAACCGCGGGAAATCCGTGACGTTCCAGAACAGAGAACTCGACGAAGCTTTATCCAGTGTCGCTTGTCGACTTAACCTAAGTCGACACAGTGCTAGAGGCTTCGAGGACCTCACGTCCAAGAGTATCAACGCAGCAGCCGACATGCTCGGCTATCTCAACGCGAAAAAGCACCTCGTTGTTGTGAACTTTGCTCGAGCGATGCCACCCGAAGACCCTGACGCCACACCTCACTTGTCGCAGTCCACTCGAGGCATGAGCATCCTATGGCGTCAACTCCGTCCAGAACTTGTGAAAACTTATAAAATTCCTCTCTCTCCGGATGCGTTATCATCGTTAACATACCGCACTCCCGACTGGCAAGCCCAAGCGCTGGGCGTCGAAGAAGCAACGACATATCTGATTAAAGAGGTTATCCCGTTGTTCGCTGTTAAGCTATCTCAAAAATCCGATTATTTCGAGTCGCCCGAGTTCGAGTTGGTCAAGGAAATGCACCGACACGGCATCAACATGCGCCATCTCGGTCTTCTCCGCTCGCAGTTCTTATTCCAGTTGGAAGGGACGGCCATGTTGCAGTATTCTAATCCAGAAATCCAAACTTCACTGGATTTTACACGAGAATTGGAGCGTGGATCCCGCGTGTATATTAACGGGAAAATCTGTACGGTCAGTCGAGATCGCAGTCATCGCTTCGACGCGACGTGCATCACGCTAACGAGTCCGCATATGGGAGATTCTATCCAGAACGTGGCGGTGTATAGCGGTCGATTGGAGTGTAAAGAGAAATCTGTTACTATACGACGATTTTTATTGGCAGAAATGGTGGCACGGACATTCAAGAACATCGTGCGGCACTTCATGCGTCAAGCTGCTAAAGCGAACTCGACTGGCTTAACTCCGATGCTACATAAGCAGATTTTAATCCAGTCGCTTAATCTGTTGAGTGGAAGTCGGAGAGGGAGCGAAAATCTGTGGAAAATCCACCTCTTCGAAGGAATCCGAGCTAGGTTCGGCTTGAGAGCAGTGTCGGAAGTTGATAAGCAAAATCTACGCAGAACTCTCCTGCCTGTGCTCGAGTATATCGTTCGTCGAGTGGCGGAGATGATGGCGATCCCAATCACGGCTCTGTGCTTGACACGAGTGGCGGATAATCCAGATTGTTACACGTTTGTTCTGGACGATTTATCGTCTTTTGGAGACTTTTACCGAGTGAAACACAACGTGTCGATGCTCTATTTCTCCATGGCCTCGTTGCTGCTACTTCAAGCGACAGTCAAGCAAGCCACGTCATACAAACAGCTAGTTGTATCCGACGATCCGAGTGGCTATTGGTCGCTTTGTGACCGCCGAGGGACATTAGAACCAGCAAATCTGGGCTCTTATTGTGAATTTCGAGGGAAATTTCGTCCTGGCTGCACTCTGGAAGGTGCAGGACCCATCCTGAACGCAGATTTGAATCGCTCTCTGGTTCTTCGGAAGACCTCACGAAGTTGTGTTGAATTCCCGTACGGCAAGCGTTTCTATCCGGATAATGTGGACAGCTACGTGTCTTTAGAAACGTGGTGTCGTTGTGATGGCCATGAGAGTACCCGACGGGTTGTACTGACACTTGGACGCTTCTGTCTTAGTGTGTTGAAAGCCAATGTATGGGCGTTCAGTTTAAACGTCAAGAGTATCGACATCTCGGTGTTTGGATCTCAAGTTATCATTGGAAAATGGACCCATCTAGTCGGGACATATGATGGAACTATACTGCGTTTCTATGTGGATGGATTATTGCAGAATGAGGTGGAAGTGGCGAGCGTTGTCGACTTGGAAATCCAGAAACGAGAAGCGATGATGGCAAAGATGCGCAAAGATATCGCGGATCTCGAGGACGACGCCAAAGGAGCGTGTTTCCGAGAGATCGACCAAGAAACAAAGCTCTTGTTCGCCACTAAAGAAGGTCGAAAACAGGTCAAAATGATCAGCACGAAGCTGTTTGAAGAGCACGAATTCCGAGGTAGATTGTCTCGAAATGCGGCGACCGGAGACGATGGCAACTCGTCAAAGAAAGCAGAAACTATAGTGAAGAAAGACGTTTCTAAAGTGTCCCGCGCTGACTTCGAACCCGTGGCTAAAAAGCAGATTATCCGCGAGAAATTCGACGCCAAGTGGTTGGTGTTGGCTGCGGATTTTAAGGAGATGAGAGAGCGAGTGAATGTAAAAATCCAACGAGAACTGGATGAACAATCCAATCAAGAAGCTCGTCAGCTGCGGATCGGATGTTTGTCCTCCATGCGACGGAAAGATGGGAAATATTTCTTCCACGGGAACATCGCTCATGTTGCGTACTATAATGGTAAAATCTTGACTCGGGACCAAATAAACGCCCACTACGTGATCGGAACTCGAGATCGCGCTCACGAATCGGATCATCTATTTGCTTTGGCGTCCAGTCGCTTCTCGCGAGCTCTTGAGTACGCTCCGGACGATAAGCGGATGTTGGAGAAATTTGCGGAAAATATCTGCGCTTCACTTAAGTACGACTTGGATCACCAACACGCACGGGAAATCTACAAGAAGAAGGTCCGGTGCGGACTCAAACCCCTCCTGGCGACGGAAAACGCACACGGTATTGCTGAAGTGATGAAAAACCTGCCGCGAGAGCCCATTTTCAGTGACTTGTTCTTGCTTTGCTATCACAATATTCTGAAAATCCAGCCAGATTATTTCCAAGCTGTCAAGTCACAGCAGTGTTGTTTGCCACTTCGAGAGCTTGCACGGATGCCGTTTGCGTTCTTCTTGGGGTCACGGTCAGCTAATTCCCTGGTAAACATCATGAGCTGGTATGATCACAGCGACGACGAGGACGCTATCATATCGACTTTTGCAGGTATTATCTGCAATGTTCTGGTAGATTTTCCAACCTTTTTCGGAGATCAATTGACGAATATGATGTGGCTACGCAATCTACGGAACCCCAAAGCGGTCGTCTACTTTGTGTTATCCATGGAGTCAGGTGAAGACGCTCGTTGTATTGATCTCAAAGACGTGCTGGATATCTCTGAGGAGGACATGGATATTATCACAAAGAACAACAGATTCTGCACTGGTCTTCACCTTGCTCGCTGCTCTCAGTTATCGGACGCTACGATGCGCAGAATAGCGCTGTGCTGCTCGCAGCTTGAAGAGCTGGATATCTCATATTGTACCTTGATCACCGATCTGGGACTGGCAGCAGTGGGCAGATACTGCAACCGACTCGTTCGATTAAAGATTATCCATTGCTCTCAGATTCGAGACGTTGGCGTGGAAGCGATCGTACGTACGAATCCAAGAATCGAGGAATTATCCTTGAGTTTCTGTGAGAGAATCACCGATCGTTGTTTCCTCACAATCGGTAAATCCTGTCCTGGATTATCGGTATTGGACGTCGAACTTTGTGTGCAACTTGGCAACAGCGCGTTGAAATATCTAGCGACGATGCTGGTGAATCCCAGTAAATTGAGAATATTAAATCTCGCGGGATGTCGACGTATTGGAGACGAAGGCTTGCTAGAAATCCTGAACGTGTGTACCGGTTTACAAAAGGTTAACCTTCGTCTTTGCGACAGAATGACAGATGTTTCTATCCGACGTCTAACACACAACTGCTTGGAGCTGGATACTCTAAACGTGGAGGAGTTAACTGCATTATCTTATAACATCTTCGTATTCGATCAAGAAGGTGACGGTCGTGATGTTGTGGATAAAAATCTGTTGCAGAAGATGAAAGTGCTGGATCTTACTGGCTGCGCGGGGTTAAACGATTTGTCTCTGGGTCAATTGGGTCATCGAGCTAAAACGTTAGAGTATCTGAATATTTCAGCATGTACCGAGTTAACCGATCAAGGACTGTCATGGCTTCTGGATGATATGTTAAACCACTCACTTGGAGGCACATATCTGCGGCATCTAGATGTCAGTTATTGTCCAAACTTAACAGCTAGCGGGATCCACAACGTGGTGCTGCGTTGTCCATCTCTCGTGTCACTTAGCTTGTCCGGCTGTACACATTTGAGTGACGATAATATCATTGATATCGTCAACTCCTGCGCGAAAATTGTCAAGTTAGAATTGGCGTTTTGTCGTGAGTTAACGGACAGTGTGCTGCACGCTATCGCTAAGCATTTGAGTCTGGAAAAACTTAACTTGTCGAGATGTGTTCGAATAACCGACGACGGGATGCTCGAAATCGCAGCACAGTCTTCCGTTCTTCGACGTTTAAATGTGTCTGCGTGTAAGAAACTGAGTGAACGAACGTTGATTGCCTTGTTGGAAGGGTGTCGACTGCTGGAGGAGCTGGACGTCACGCATTGTCCCCTTTTCTCGCCGGAGACGCTAGCGAGATTTGTCAAGAGAAAAGTGAACGTCACGTGTCGAAAACTTGAACAAGTTTTGGTCACCACTGCGCTAGAAGCGATTGAGTCCAAGGAGCAGCACGAACGACAAGAAGCAGAGAAGCAGCAGCAAAATGAAATCAGTGTCGATGCGTTGAACTACATGACGCCAGAACGTCGAGCCAAATATGTGAAGACGCTTCTTGCTGCCAAACCTGGAGTCAAAGCAGTGGTATCTGAAGGGCAAAAGTCATCGAACAACTTGCCACCGATCGTGAGAAGCGAGCATGAAGATTAGAATGTATAAACTATTAATTTTAGATTAGGTTTTTAGGGTAAAAATCGTTCTTGCAAAAAAAATAGTACTTGAAACGGAAATAGACTTTCTTCAAGGCACAAGGAACGACAGATAGTATGGAAGACACTGGCGTTGATGAGGAGGTGCAGAGGAAAAACACTGATGCAACTGGTCCGATGTCATCCCAGATTGCGCACTCAATGCGTACGTACGTGTGTTCCTCAAGAGTATTTTTTTAAGCTCCTAACTGGTTTGGTTAGAAAATATTGGTGATGAGGATGAGCTGGTGCTACTTCGGGCGGAGAATGCTCTTCTTAAGAAGAAAATTAAAGCACTAGAAAAGAAAGGTCGCGGAGAAAAACCTGGCTTGTGGGTATATGTGCAGATGACAGTCTACATGAAGTAATATCTGACGCCGTTTTATATATAATCCAGGATACTTGTCGTAGATGAAAAGGAGATTCAACAAATCGATAATTTACTTAAGAAAGCAGAGGTAAAAAAATACGCGTTTGATGGAAGAGAATTGCGACTAACGCACGTAAATTCCATTGAAAACAGGATGCCAAAATGGAAGCGATGAACTATGTCGCTAATACGTCGAGAGAAAAGGTAGAGTCGGTACAGCTGTACGCAGGATGAAGCGGTTTACGGACTTTTCCTTGATCGATAGCTCGGCCAAGATGTCCGCGCGCTTCAAGCGATTCTGGAGAAAGTAAGTCGTAGAGGAAATAGTCGACTGCAGCTGACTAATTTGCGACAACTCTAGGCAAAAGCAGAGCGCCACGCTTTTAAGAAAAAAGTCAAGACCAGTGAAGAGAAGCTTCGTGTCGAGAGAGCCAAGATGGCACAGGTGAGCTCACTCGCTTCTGGGTGCTATATTTAAAGTATTTTGAGATCATTTTAACACGCAGGAAGAGATTCGTTTCCAAGTTGACCGAGAAATTTTCGCCAAAATTATCAAGGTAAATCTTCACTCACGGTATTTTTATGTAATGGCAACTAGTGATTTAATTACTAAAGGTCAGCTGTCTAGGATGATCGAGACGCATACAACAAAGAAGTGGATTTCCTTGTTGAAAAGGTGACAGCTGTTCAAAAAGAGAAACACGAGCTGTTTGTATGGGCGAACGAACAGCAGGAGCGACACTTGCAAGAGATTCGGAAACTAACACGAGCTCTCGGAAGAGCCAAACGCGTCGTGGACGAGCAGGTAATAAATAAATTATGCACCCTCCGCAGTATTATAAAATACAGATTCATCTTGACGTGTTGCAGGCGACGAAAAGCTCCGCGGTTCTCAACGGTGTGCGCCAAGTTCAATCCACAGTGTTTCGCACAACACCCGCCAAGTAATTTAACTTTCAAGTATGTAGTACTTGACAATATATTTTACCACCAGAAAGCAGAACTTATGTGCTTTATCCCGATTTTACCTGGTGGCAGGAATTCTACTAAGTATCCTTATTCCAGCGGACTGTAGATGATTCTTTGAAGTTTTCCACGTTGCTCGGACACTTGAATGACCATCTTGAGGTCAAGAATATCTCCACTATCGTCCTTGAACGCCGCAATCAGGAGGCCACAGTTGGTCAACTGGCTCGGCTGAATTCCAGAAATGTTAATTTGCGGGGTCTGTTTTTAAGGACAGTCCGAGTTACACAATTGTTTTAAACATAATGGCAAAAACTTCGCTGCAAAACGAACCGAAAACTGGAAATGGTTGTCACCGGGAGCGTAATTCGTTGCCTCCACTTGACCGAGTTGTGCAGAACAGCAAGCGAAAAATTCAGATTTGGTTAAGAAAACATCGAGATAGAGGTATTTGGTCATCACACGGCTGTAAGGCTAAGGAAAATGTGAAAAGGATATTGATAATGTGCCGCTTGGTGACAGAGTCCACCAGATACTAACACAAAAGCGCACTGCAAATGTCAGTTTGTGTTGCCAAAGATACTGCGATCGCACCCACCTCGATGTCCCAGAAGCCGTTGATGACCGGCGCGTCCAGGTGGAAATCCACTTCCAGGTTCAGCTCGTCTGTGAGCGCAGCCGGGTTTGGCGAGATATCCACGGCCGTGACGTCCACAGTGGGTCGCGAGCGTAGGAACTCTTGCTTGCTTTCGCTCATGGCTGTTCGGGTTATTGGTGCGTGTATACTTTTGTTTCGTACTTAAGTGACACTCGAATATTACCAATTGTCTTTTGCTAAAAAGTTTAAAAATAATTTTTCTTTCATTTTTTAATTTCGGCTGTTATTTTATTACGGAACTAGCTCACGCCTTGTATGTTTTTACTTTCTTATTAAATACCGTAAAGCTCAAGTAAAGCCCAGTTGAGCTTTACATGTTGAATCTTCAAGGCATGGAGCCATTTCTTGCGGTTCCATTGTGGCAATTCGCGCGGGTATTTTTGCGACACTGCTGGAAATGACTGTTACCAATGCTGCACGTGGCATTTTAAGTGGACCCGACTTATTAAATACCCGAACCAGGACGTCGTTTCCAGGCTTGAAGCGAGCTGCCAGCGTCTCCTTCGTCAATCCAAACTGAAGGTCAAAGTGCTCATAAACCTGGAGCAGCTCAATTTTTCTGACCGAGCCGTTTTATACCATTTACACCACTGAATCTGTGTCTTGTCAAGGCCTCATTGAGGCCCTCAAGACTTTGAATTCGATTTGAGAAATGGTTGGCGCTTCGTCATCAACATGGAATAGGTTCAGAAAATGGCGTCCCACTGTATACAGAAATACGAGACAAATGTAAACTGCGTAAATTACCGACCACATTCTGCGAAACGTCAAGGAAACAGCTCAAAATCTTTGCCATTTTTCGCAAAAAGTGATCGGTAGCAGTATACGGTGGTATACCTCAAAACTTGCGTGTGCAACCTTAACTCAGTTGCCTAGTTGCCGTCTGGAGCACACGGCACGGCACCACTTGCCGCCAATCACCAATTTTCACACGCCATGCCTGTGCCAGTCGCCGCTTCCACGGCCGTCGTCGCTCCCTTGGGCGGTCCAATAATCTCTACCAAGGCAGAGGGCAACCAGCAACAGTCCGTGCAACCCTCGAAGAGTCCCAAGGCCGTGCGCTTCGCTAACACCAAAGACCTCGAGACCTATCGACCGCAATTGGATTCACACTACCCGACGCCCTACGCGGCCCGAACTGTACCGCAGAACGGGTCCACCACGCGCCGCTACACCATTGACGAGGTGGAACTCTACTTCAGTGAAGACCGTCCTGAATTCCCCGTGGGATTGAGCGACTACGCAGTGCAAAAAGCTGCCAAACGTGAGAATTTCGTTCTCTGCGGATTCATCGAGACCCGCCGCGTGAAATTGGGTATCACCAGCTGGAACAAATCTTGGGCTGAGCTGTACGCCGGCATTTTGGTCTTGCGCAAGTTCAAAGACACTATTCAACGTAAAAGGTCACTGGTCCCCGTCGCCGGCGCGCGATTGGAGTTCCTCGACTTTAAAGACAAAGTTATGCAAGTAGATTATCTGTACCAGGGCAAAAGTGAGAGCAGCACTCTACGGTTCCAGACCAAACAGGATATGTTCCTCTGGTGGTGGTCTATCCAAGTTGCCGCTCGTGTTCCAATGGAACCGCAAATGCTTCACAAGTGTATGAGTCGTGCAACATTGTCACCATTCCAGATTAAAGAAGGCACTTACCAAGTAGATGATGTGCTGTTTCCCAAGTTTATTCAACCGGTTCTAAACCCTCTGAAGAAAAAGATACAAACTCCTCGAGGAGTTACGCACCTCATCTTTATACGCCACGGAGAGACTGAAAACATCAATTTCCGCGTGTGCGACCGCGATAAAAGACTCACAAAACGGGGAGAGCAGCAGGCTGAGATCACTGCCAAGTCGCTGAACAAGATGTTTAAGCTAAGAGGAGATGGCACCCCGAGTGTCACTTTGGTGTATGGAGGACTGCGGCGAACTGTCGAGACGGCTGCGGTTTTTGCCAAAAAGTTGCCATGGGCTGCCAAAAAGTACGAGTGTAGTTTTCTCGAAGATGGAGCGCCCAAGAATGTAGACGTTTTCCACCGTTACGACTACCGGGAGGCAATGCACAAAATGGCGTTTCAGAATATTTGCCGTTGGGATGGAGATGACGCCATGGCGCGTGGACCGAAAGGAGAGCCAGAGAATTTTAAACTCATTATTGCGCACACGAGCTTCATTCAGTACTGCTTGGCGCAGTGCTACGGCGTTCCCAAGGAGATTATTCAACTAGGAGCCCCTATCAGTCATTGCAGCATCACGCGCGTTGATCTGAGGTCCAACGACGAACTGGAGGGCAAATTTGCCAATCGAGTTTCGCACTTGCCGCTCACACACCAAACGAGTGAGTAAGATAAAGGAAAAATTGTAAAGTTAGTATTTTCGGCTTAGCCAAATTTTTTGCCATTACCGTACAAATCGCAGCATCTTCTTAAAATTTATTAAAAAGAAATGCAAAAAACTCAGAGATGTATTCATATTCACGAGATGTACGCTAGCCTTCTCTTTGCTCTGGTCTCCGTTTCAGTGGAACGGAGTGTTGCATCCACCCTGTCGGATGGAATTCGAGTTTTTTTCGACGTCTTAAGCTGTGCAAACCTGTTTGCCAATGTTGCTGCGGCATCGGCTGCCGGAAAATGAGCGGGGTGAGGTGATATTCATCTTTTCACCAGAACTCAAGATGGCGAGATAGTTGCCACGATCGGATTTCTTGCCGCAGGACTCCGGAGTGAGTTTATCAACGGAAGTTGAGCTTTTACGCGCGATGGCATCCTCAAGACTCAATGGGTAGCGTCCAACAACGAGAACGTAGTCACCTTTGGGCAAAGCCAGTGAGATGTACGGGTCGCGGAAGCTGATGGAGCGGTAGTGAGAGCGATTCACAAAGTTGTCATCGTCGTCACCAGAGTTCACGAGGTCAGCGACTGACAAATCAGCTGAATTGGCGCGGAACAGGTAGGCCACAGCGTCGATGTACGCGCTCTGGCAGTTTCCGTTGATATCGATGAAGCTGTTGCCGTCGGCACTTCCATACGATGCGATCTCCATTGTGATGCGGTTGAAAGCAGGAACGGTGAATGGGATGTAGTCCACGGACACAGCACGTTGACTACGGACGATTGATCCCTCGACGCCAGTGGCATAGGCGAGAGCTGCTTCTCGGTGGTACGGACATTGAGTGTATGGGGCGTTCGGAGCCGCGACGCTGCACTGGGAACCAATGTAGGTGCCTGGAGAAGTACCAGTGATGGTCGCACTGGTACTGACGGTGAGTCTGTAGCTGCCATAGTTTGATGTTCCCTTGTCACAAACGCGAACGTTAGGAGACAACGGCATTTGCTTGCTTGCTGCTTGTGTTGGAGTGAGACCCGATGCGCTGATTGCCAATCGGTAGTTGCCAGCTGAGAGCTTCACGTACAGATACGAGTCGGCGTTGCTGATCGATCCATCGGCACTTCCATAGCCGTTGGGGGCGTTATCGTTTGCAGAGACGACAGTCGTCGCGCCAGCGGCAGCGTCAAGGCTAAAGAGAATGATACTCGAGTCAAGATACCCAGCGTTGCAATCCCCGTTGACGTCCACGTAACCTCCGCCCGCCTTCTCTTCCATTGAGAGGATATCGAGCTCCACTGCTGCCTCTGACGAGAGTTTAAAGTCCACGTAGTCCACGGACGTGAACGTAGCAGTCGAAGTGATCGTCCCGTCCACTTGTGTCTTGGTGGTTGGAGCAGGAGCAGTAGTTGGGGCTTGGGTCGGAGGCGAAGTGGTAGGAGCAGAAGTTGGAACTGACGCCGCAACGTACACGGCGTTCTCCGGAAGAATGTTGCGTGTCCTCATGTCGGTAATGAGCTTGTTCGCATTGATAGCCGTGTTGGGACATCCACCGCAGTGGTGCAAGGCGACGACTGAATTGTCGGACCAAGCAAGGACGGGTGAACCAGAAGAACCACCCTGTGTGTCAAGCATGTAGGCGACCTGGTCCCTTGCACAGCCGCTTCTGGTCAACGAAGTTACGGTGCCCCACCCATTGTCTGTCTTCAAAGCGATACGCTTGCCCCATCCAGCAGGGTGTTGAGGAATGTAGATTCGTTCGGATAGCACTGCTCCCGTTTCGCGCATCTGCAAGTATCCGTACTCACCGGACAAGTTAATCGGAAGCTTAACAAGAGCATAGTCGAGTGCTGCGTCAGCGTAAATGAGCGTCGCTGATCTCGCTCGCACCCTACCGCCGCATGCCATACCCCGGTTACAGTTGGTGCTGCAAGTCGCACCTTGGGCGTTGAACTCGAACTCCGTGTTGCTAGCGTGTGCTTGTTCTGAAATGCAATGGTTGTTCGTAATGAGGTGGCCTTCCGATCCCACCAGCCAGCCCGTGCAGAAATAAGAGCCCGTTGACTTGTGGATCAACAAGCGAGCCACAGCACCTGCAGCCTTGAACGCACTCACGTCAGCCACGTAGCATACCGCTTGCTGACTTTCATCTGCGCCGCACACCTCCTCTAGGCCGGACAAGGCGTTGTTCGCTGGTTGCGCTAGGAATCGGTAATTATCAACGGTGAAACCCATACACAGGAACGTGTTCACTGCTTGTGCGCCAACAGCGGGATCGGCGTTTGCAGTGAACAGCTCAACGACGATGGACGTAGTCTGGAGAGCTGTGGAGTAGAAGACACCACTGGTGTCGTACCCGTTGTACCTTAGCACAGTCGTTTCCTGGTCGTTCGGATTGGCCGCACGTATCTGAATGTAGTCGCTCTTGGGAAGATTGAAATTGGTGAAGTGCACCGAGATGAAGTCTGCCAGCCGATTCGTGACCGTGTACGCAAACCGGGGTTGCTTGGTCGAGTCGTTTGTGAAAGTCGGGTAGTCGCCTTCACCGCACCCGACGCCAAAACTTATGTCTTGGATGCCAGGAGTGCTGGTGTTTAGAGCTGATTGAGCATTCGCGATGGTTGCCCAAGTGAGGGCGACGAAACCAGCAAGTCGGTGAAGTAGTCGAGTCATGACACTCAGTCCTCTCCTTAGAGGTTAAAGCTGCTTCCGGTCCGTCCGACACGGAAGATTTTAGAATGGCTGCTTTAAGGGACTGGTGAGGCTATCGGCACCCATTCCGATCGGGGGTTGGAAAACTCCGCGATATTCAACGCCCCAATGGGATGTCGTTTGCAGCTTAATCGCGTGTTGGTGGTTAAATGCGAAGCATATCTCACACGCCGATCTTTCTCTGGCGGTTTTCAAAACTGGGGTTGTCGTTTTTGATGAATGTTCTGGCGGCAGACGAAAATGGGATGAAGACGGTCGACTGGACGTAATGGGAGGTTGCTGCTACGAATATATCGGTCTCTTCTCGCCAATTCGTGCGATGTTGACACGCTTGGTGGAATCTTCACCCAAACTGACACGCGAGGAATGTCTGAAATGAAATACAAATGCAACTCTTGTCTAGCAGGAGGTTGGTTTTTTGTGTGCCCTTCGTGGAAAGCGTTGCTACCGCCTACACCGTAGCATTCGCTGGAAGAATGTTGCGCCATTTCATGTCGTTTACGAGCTTGTAGCTGTTGATCGCCGTGTTTGGACACCCACCACAGTGGTGCAAAGCAATTACTGTGTTATCTTGCCACGAGAGAACGGGTGAACCGAATGAACCGCCTTGTGTGTCCAAATAGTACGCTACTTGATCCGTCGCGCAGCCGTCCATCGTCAACGACTTCACAGTTCCCCAGCCGCTATCAGTTTTCATCGCGATGCGCTTTCCCCACCCAGCCGGGTGCTGGGGCATAAAGATTCGTTCTGACAGTACGGCACCACTAGCACGCAGACGGAGGTATCCATACTCGACGGATAAACCAGCAGGTAACTTCAACAGAGCGTAATCCAGCGCTTCATCTGCGTAGATTAGTGCTGCCGATTTAGCACGAATCGATCCGCTACATGCGCGGGCGCTGGTACAGCTAATACTACACACAGATCCTCCAGCGTTAAACTCGAATTCTGTATTGTCTGCATGGGTTTGTGAAGAGATGCAATGGTGGTTGGTCATCAAGTGACCTTCACTGCCGAGTAGCCAACCAGTGCAGTAGAAAGCGCCTTCTGGTTTCTTGATTAAAAGGCGAGCCACTGTTTTGGACGCTTGGAAGGCATCGGTGACAGATTTGTAGCAAGATGCCTCTCGACTGTTATCGAAACCGCAAGCTTCTTCTTTGGCTCCATGGAGCGATGACGCTCTTGCCAGGTATTGGTAGCTGTCCACAGAAAACCCAAGACATTCCGACGCATCGACAGCCAGAGGGGGGTCTGATGTTTCTGTGAACAACTCCACTATAACAGCAAAGGTCGAAAGCACCGGAGCGTAAAAGTCACCACTTGACTCGCCGCCGCGCAATTGTACAACTTGTTTTTCAGTAGACGCTGGATCTGCAGCACGAATTTGAACGTAGTCATCTTCAGGCAAGTTGAAGTGCTTATAGTGAACAGCGACGAAATTCGCGAGCGGGCTCGTGATCAAGTACGCGAGCCGTGGCTGCTCGAGAGCTCGTCGGTGGTCGGGTATTCCATGTCCCCGTCACAGCCCACTCCAAAGATTTCTACTTGGATACCAGCGGTCGTGTTGGAAGCGTTAGAACTTCTGTTGTGGTATCCTTGAGCACCTGTCAGCGATGGTAATGTTGTAGTGAACGCCACTAACGCAGAGATAATACAGAGAAGGTGATGAGTCATCTACACCGTGTGAGTTTGAAATGCCTCGGTGCCGATTGTGCTAACAATTTCAGAATGCAGAAGGGCAAATTTTTCGTAATTTGCTACCGATACTGTTGACACTCACTCCACTTATACCTTGCTGCGATCGTACCCCCGACTTCGTTACTGTTGACACTCACTCGACTTTTACTTGCGACTTTTACTTGGGTGTTTAGACTGTGAAGTTGTCTACCGATATGAGTGCGGTTCCTACATCCAACCAATGTCGTTAATAACTCGAGAATTCAATGGTTTGGTAGATACCCTGAATCTGATGAATAAAACAATGTGTATTGAGGTAGATAATCTTCCATCTACGACAGATCTGATGCCAAGAACAACAATGCTCTCGACAAATACTTGTGTGAGTAGCGAAGTTTACGTGCACGCGTTGTCAGGGAGGATACCGCGCCACTTCATGTCGTTAATCAGCTTGTAGCTGTTGATGGCCGTGTTCGGGCACCCACCGCAGTGGTGCAGAGCGACCACCGAATTGTCCGACCAAGCAAGGACGGGGGATCCTGATGAACCGCCCTGGGTGTCCAGGTAGTACGCAACCTGGTTATTCGCGCAGCCTCCCATCGTCAAGGACGTTACAGTTCCATAGCCACTGTCAGACTTCATCGCGATACGCTTGCCCCAACCAGCCGGGTGTTGAGGCACATACACACGTTCATTCATGATAGCTCCGCTGGAACGAAGGCGCAAGTAGCCGTACTGACCTGACAAGTTGATAGGCAGCTTGACGAGAGCATAGTCAAGTCCTGCGTCGGCGTAGATTAGCGTTGAGTACGAAGCTCGAATGGTTCCAACACAGGCGCGGGCATAAGCGCAGTTGACACTGCAGCTTGAACCTTGCGCCATGAACTCAAACTCGGTGTTACTGGCGTGGGCTTGAGTCGAAATGCAGTGGTGATTGGTCAGAAGGTGTCCTTCACTACCAATGAGCCAACCCGTACAGAAGAAAGAGCCCGTCGACTTCTTAATCAACAGGCGAACCACAGCGTTGGACGCTTGGTACATTCTAGAGTAACCGGAGTAGCAGCGAGCTTCTCGACTGTTGTCGGCACCACACACCTCTTCCTTAGATCCATTCAGCGTGGAGCCCTGACCCAGATACTGGTAGCTATCCACCGCAAATCCGACGCATCCGGATGAATTGGCCTCCGAGCTGGTTGCATCAGTGAAGAGCTCGACGATCACAGAGGACGTCGACAGCGCATCAGCGAAGAAAGCGCCCGTGGAATCGTTGCCACGGTATTGCAACACGCGAGTGTCCAGAGCTGCAGGGTCCGCTGCACGCACTTGGACATAGTCGCTCTTGGGTAAATTGAACTGCTTGAAGTGCACCGCGATGAAATTCGCCAACGGGTTCGTGACCAAATATGCAAACCGTGGTTGCGCAGTGGAGTCGTCAGTGGACTTTGGGTACTCAATGGCGGCACCGCACCCCACGCCGAAGTTCTCTTCTTCGATACCTGCAGTCACTCCGTCCGTGCTGCTGCTATTGGAATATTGAGCAGTTGTGAGCGACGACAGCGAGGCAACAAGCGCCATTGCTGATGCCACAGCATGGTAGAACAGGCGTGTCATTGAGATTTTACACTCCGAGGAAAGAGATGTCCCAAGAAGGAAGTTGTGGAATGAGCTGCTTGCGACGATGTCTTCATGCTCTTTTTAACGCATTGCAAGGGCAGATCGCATGGAGGAGCACAATGATAAACTCGTACGCTCACTCCGTCGCAGCTACCACCGGTAAACTCCTACTGGAACCGCGACGTTCTTGCTGCTCAAACGCAGACTCGAGTGGTGGTTTCAAGGTGATGATGTCCTACGCTTTAAATTAGCCATTCTTATCGAGCCAATTCTCCACCGAAGGTAGGAGGACTCCACAAATAAACTCAGCACCGTTATTTGCCATTTTTAGTTGCCCGCAAGCGATGGATCTGCGATCTTTCGAAGTTGCTCAAACGTTATTTATGGTGACATCTTCTTGCTACTTCAGGCTCCGTCATGTTTTCGGTGGGATACAGGGACAATTTCTGAAGTACAAAGGGTGGTGTTAAAAAACACCGAGGGATAGAGGGAAGGGCGGGTCCTTTGACGTCGTGGCGTAGCTAAAACAGTCCCCAACCCGTAATAAATCACCGACCTTGAATTATAGCACAGTGAGTCAGAGAGGCACTTTACTTCTTGGCCGTCTTCTTGACCGTCTTCTTAGTAGTCTTGGCAGTAGCCTTCTTAGGGGCCGACTTCTTGGCCGCAGCCTTCTTCGGGGCCGCCTTCTTGGTGACCGTCTTCTTGGCAGCAGCCTTCTTAGCGGTAGGCGACTTCTTAGCCGTCGTCTTCTTGGCCGGGGCCTTCTTGGCCGCCACCTTCTTAGCAGCAACCTTCTTGGCCGCCGTCTTCTTCGCCGTAGGCGACTTCTTGGCCACCTTACCAACCTTCTTGACAGTCTTGGCCGACTTGTCAGACACCTTGAGGCTCCTCTTCGTGGAGGCAGCGGGTTTGCGCAGCTCGGGCGAGAGCTTGTACGAGCCCTTGATCTGAATGAACTTGCCGGCATCAACAGCTGTACGCAGAGCCTTGTTCAGGTGGTGGCTAGCATAGTTGTCCTTCTTGTTCTCCACGATCTTGGAGATGGCCTGACGGGACGAGCCGTTGCGCTCCTTAAGCTCCTTGATGGCGTCCACAATCAACTCAAAGTAAGAAGGGCCGCTTTCGCCAGCATTCTTAGCCGCCGGGGCCTTCTTGGCCTTCGGCTTCTTAGCCTTAGGGGCTTCCTTAGCGACGGGTTCGTCCTTCTTGGCAGCGGCGGCCGTCTTGGCCTTACGAGCCGAAGGCGAGCGCGTCGTAGCGGGGGAAGCAGTAACCTCCTCAGTCGGAGCAGTGGTAGTGGCGGGCGTCGGCTCGGCGGCCGCAGCCTTGGCGTCTTCGGTGGGAGCCATGAGGACTTTAGAGAGAGTGTGAAGAGTTAGCGGGGAGCGGTCGGAGCCGTCGGCGTCGAGTTCTTTTCTGCCAGTCACGACGAAATGAAGGGATTTTTGGGTTTGGAACGGGCGAAGTTTCCCGCGAAAGTTAAGTGAACCAATCACAGAAGAGTGTGGTAAGGCTCCGCCAATTATAGACTAGAAAGCGAACCGACAGGCGAAAACAACTGATTAGGGGACAAGGAAGGGTTGTGGAGACGTATTTAGAATTATGTGGACACATTTGACAGTGACTGTATACTGCACGGACGACTTTAATTGTTGTATGCTTACCATTCCCTCGTCACAAAGTCCGAGTACCTCGAAAGGTTTCTCGTGTAAAGGTAACTCTCCTCGGGTAACGCGGTTAAACAGTTCCAGGAGAAGGACCAGGATTCGGGGGACGCCCCTTTCCACTATCGCAGTCTGTGCATTCCTTTACAAACGTTTCCACATCGGCATACATGCCACGCCAGTAGAGGTCCAAGCACAGTCTCTCGTAGGTCCTCGTTATCCCTTGATGTCCTCCTTGGGAGTCTTCATGTGCATAGTGCAACTCCGGTACAACCAGGCGTAGCTCATTTACTTTGCCACGAGGCCGTTCTAAACCTTTGCCCGCCCATAGTTGGCACATTCAACATCCAAAGTCGGCAACTTTAATTTTGATTTATTTTTTTGCAGGAGCGACGTACCCGAACTAAGCAGTACCACTATCCTTAGTGCAATCAAGCTGGCTAATCCATACTCAAAGTCGGCATGCTGTACTCCTTCTCCCTACAGATCCACGTACTCGCCGTACACCATGTCCTCGAAGCGTATTGCGGCGTTGACGAATTTCGCAGCATGCAACTCCATCTTCTGCACCATGCGCTGTGTGATCTACGGCAAACTCCTTTCTTTTCTGTTTGTTGACCTCACTGTTACATGTCATTGGCTCCACGCGAGTCTAAGCAACAGCAAGTGTGTTAGCTCTAATAGCATCAGCACCTTACAACAGACTGCATCACCTGTTTGACTGAGTACAGCATGCCAGTCAAATGGCGAGAAATCGTGGTCTCAGAGATGTCCACGTCAAAGTCTTCTCGCACCAGCAACCTTAAAGTACCGAGCGTGTACGTGCAGCACTCTTCCATCCAGAGCTCGAGAGCCTCCCGAATTTCTGGCGTGACCTTAGCAGCTCTTGCCCCTCCACGAGGAAGGCTCTCAGCCCGTCCGTGGTCTACCAGATACTGAGCGGTGGTGCGAGGGAACTCGTTGTGGCTAGCGATCGCGCGCCAGTCTTGGCCGTTGTTGAAGGCCTCGAGGACCCGGCGGCGTTTCTCAGGCGTGTGGCGCTTGAGCGTGGACTGAAAAGGCATCTACGCGATGCTCGGTAGAATTGAGAGTGAAGATTAAGACGCGCCACATGCATAAGCTTGGGTGGCTTCGAGCGCGCGGGAGTTCCTCGTCGGAATCTCGTTGGCAGTGACAACTTTGAATGTTGATTAGTCGACATTGAATGAGGAAAAAGGGTGGTGCTTCTTAAGTTGGGCACGTTGCTGACACCCAAAATTAAAGCTGCCGACTTTGGATGATGATGTGCCAACTATGGGCAGGCAAAGGTGTAGTGTCGAACGGGTTGGCCGATATAGCACGTCCCTGGAATCCAGGACGAAATCGTCGGCAATCATTGCCGCCTTTTGCGTTTGAGCGTGTGTCATTGTCCTACCATCGCCTATCACGAATCGCTTGATCAGCGCCAGGAATTCATCTCCGTCCTGGTGTGCTTTGATCCTGCGCCAACGATCTTTCTGATAATCAAGAGGTCCCAACGTTGGTTCCTGGTTTGCACGACCTTGAACATCCTGGGGGCGGGTCACCACTGCGAATACTCTGGTAGGTATGGGCAGTGGTCCAAATTCAGGACTATTCGGCGAATCATCCTGACGCTGAGTGCTCTCAACTAATTCATCATGAGGCTCCACACTGGCTTCTTTCGGCTCTGGTGATTTTATGAGCTTCTCGTGAAAATTGGACACTAACTGGAGGTGGATACTTTCGCTTGAGTCTTTCACCTTTCAGGAGTGGTCAAGGACCAGAGTATTCGACGTCAGGTAGTCAGGTTCCTGATTAAGCTCCCGCTTGACGTGCACCATCCAAATCGTCTTAAACTTCTCACTCAAGAACCCATACTCAGCTAACTTGCGTTTGAATTTGAGCTGGTTGCAATTGATTAGTACTTGGGCCTGCTGAATCGCAATCCTGAAATATTCAACGTTCACATGATCTTGAATTCCCCGATCAAGCGTCATCGACATTTCTTGCACCAGACCTTTGTACGCAGCATCGCTCCCAGTCACGTCTTCCAGGATAAAACCTCGATCTTCTACCAGGAAGGTACCACAGAATACAGTCACAGCTTCCTTGATGAGTATGGGGTTGGCGACTCGTAAGAAACACAGTATAAATACTTCGTAGTTAGCATCGAGAGCATCCACGCTAATTGGTACGTGCGGATTGACGCGCCCCTAGGTCGGAATCAGTGATTTAGTCTCTTTATCCAGATGAGATCTGGGGGTAATACCTGCACTCAAGATTGCAGCCAGTCCGTCCTCGTCTCGTTGAACACGCCATATTTCCAGGTTTCAGCGTGGCAGCATCAGTTCCCAACGAGCGATCCTGCCGTCAGCACTCCTGGATGCCAGAAGTCACTTGAGCACAGAGTATCTGGCGCATCCTAGAGCAGAGTGTGGGAAACTTCCAAGCTTGTAGTACTGAGATAACTTTATTGGTATCCCCCCCACCTCAATGAACACGCGTCCCGTATACCTGACAGGGCGGATCACCCCGTCGTGCTCCTATCCCAGGACGACCGAAGCCGCCCAAGCATTCACGTAAGGAATGATCACGAACGAGGCGAGCTTCTCATGCTACCATGACTCCATCATCTCCTGAGTATTGTGCTCGCACAGCTTCAGCTTCCGCCTCTCGGCTATGCCACTTTTTTGTGAACAGCGCTTCCAGGCGTACACGCTCTTGGCTCGCAGCCTCCGCAGCGTCGGGAGCGCATTCATCCTGGCGCTTAGTCTCCTACTTGACAGACTAGGGTGTCTTCGATGTTGTCTCAAGCTTCTGTGCTCGGCGTACAGCCTCCAGCCTTGTAGGTTCCGGCTGTATGAGTCGATGAGTCAACCCCTGGAGCTGGCGACGCGCTTCTTGGTCTCGCTGGTCACGAACACGCTCGTGTTCCGGGGAGGCAAATTGTTCTCGCTCGTGATACTCCTACTGCTCTTGCTCCATCCTGGATTGCCACTCTTGATGTTGGGGCAAAGCATTTAGCTCGAGTAGGTCATGCCCAGAACTTATTAACGATGAGCAAGCACCATAAGAAGCACCAACACCACAAGCATCAGCAGTCCGACGTGAATGCAGCTGCTCAAACACTTCACGAGCTTAAAGCAACCATATCGGGAAAAAGGCTCAATAAGGTACTGATTAATAAACTCGATTAAATTCGGCCTACAGGCGTTGTGAGCAGTAATTTAAGTGATGGGAAAAACTATGGAGATCGAGGTTACGGAGATCGAGATGTATGTAATACATAAAAAGTGCGAAGGCAGGGATAATTCAAAAATAGCTTTTTCAAACATGACTAAAAATAGGCAGACCATCTATGGCCAAGAGTAACAAACACCAAAATAATCCCGAGCGGTTGATGTTGGTGTTAAACAATATTCTTCTATTATGGCGACACCTGCAAGTACGCCAACTTCCTTCAGCATTTCCCCGCTACCTAAAAAAACCTCTATGATTCATACGACGAAGCCGAAGCCGCTATTCATGCTTGGAATCGGGGAAAAGGAATTGACGTCACTAAAGGCCACCACAAGAAAAACAGCGCCAAGGGGATATAGCAGCGCGACTTCAAATGCGACAAATACGGACATACGCAGAACAACCGTCACCTTACTGAAGAAGACGGAATTCTAGTACAGCGATATACATGTAAAATTGGTTGTACAATATAAACTCGGCTTGAAGCTGTCAACAAAAACGATTGCTCAGGGAAATGGAAAATTGTGCACTTGAAAGGATCCGCGTTACACACTCACCCAGCCTCCGAAGACCCCAGTATTCACGCTGGACATCGACGTCGGGACATGCAGGGTCTTGTTTCGTCGGATCTTTCAACACAGGATTTGATTTCCTCTCAACTCACTGTTGGAATTGCACTTGCGGCTGTGGTGGCAATAATTCACAACGCTCATCCTGAAACAACAATACTGGCGAAAGATGTGGCGAATCACAAGAGAGCGGGCCGACGTGAGGCTCTTGCAAACAACACACCAACGGAGCTGCTTTTGAAAAAAACTGTCCACGAACAATTTATTTTTCAAATGTAAAGTAAGTCCCGAGACCTCTCGGTTGCAATATTTGTTCTGGTCTCACCCAGATGTCAAACAATTTTACAAGTGGAATTCCGAAGTTTTGATTATGGACTGCACCTACAAGACTAACGCATACGATTTGCCGCTCTTGAACATTATCGCAATGGCGAACCTGAACTCTGTGTTACCAATAGCACAGTGCTGGCTGTCAGGTGGAAAGGAAGAAGACTTCGTGTGGGCTCTCGAACAACTGTAATTTATGATGACAGACTATGACATACCAAAGCCTACGGTCATAATTACAGATCGGGACCAGGCCTGTATGAGCGCGTTAAATCGCTCGTTCCCCGACGTTTCATCTCTGGTCTGCCGTTGGCACATGAATCGCAACGTGATGGTCAAGACAAGAACACTTTTTGGACAAGTTGAGATTGAAAAACCTGCACTTGGCCAGGATAAGTACGAGAACACGGTTGCAACAGATCAGCTCATGGAGCTGTATTATGACGCCGTCGAAGCTCCTTCGGAAGCGGAATTTGAATCGCGCTGTGCTACTATTCGTGCGTTCAGCGTGGAAATGGCAGCTTATCTGGACAAACACCGGTGGAAATACAAAACCAAGTTAGTGCATTGCTGGGCATCCCAATACTTACATTTAAATTACCGTGCTACGTCGGCTGTGGA